GGATCTTGCACAGCCGCCTGGCGGCGCTGTTCGCGCTCGGCCTTGTCCTCGGCGAGCTGAGAGAGGATGCGGCGGCGCTCGGTGTCGTCTTGCCGGCGGAGCGCCTTGAGCTCCGCAGCCTTGTTGGACATTGCGAGGGCTTTGGTCGGGGTGTCTTACTCTTGCCGGGTCGGTCCGTTGGTTCGGTCCCGTTGGAGTGAGGGTGAGGTGTGCGGGGTGGCGTTTTGGTCCCGAGCCGAACCCCAGGGGAAAGCGGCAGCCAACGACCAGCCGACAGTGACATGGCAGGGAAGTCTTTCTCTCAGGCCCTCACCTCACACGGTCTATTGCAGAGACAAGGAGGGCCCACAGCACACACACCAAGAGTACATGTGTGTGCCGCACTGGACATCAGAGGGCCAAGGGTTGGATCAAGCAGTGGGAAGGGACTCGAGGTGACGCGCGAGCAGAGAGGCGGCGGTCCGGACCGATGGCGCTCGGTGTGGAGCAAGCAAGACCCCCCGCCCCCCCCCCATCGGCGCGCGCCCGACCTTTGTGCTTTGAACGGCCGCTAGGAGCACCAAGAGGACTCCTCATGGCTGTGGTCAAGTGGGCTTCGACCGGCCTCGGCTGGGGGGGCGGGTTGTCCCGGTTGCGGACGCCTTCTGCAGCCCCCTGGGATGGGGACAGCACCCCAAAACTGCCCCTCGGCGGCATACAGCACTGCCAGCCAGCCTCTTCCTCCTCCTCAAGGGCTGTACTATAGGCCATTTCGCCGCCTCAATCAAGGGGGCGGCAGTACTCGCCTCGCAAGGCGCGCACCGGCTGCTCTGGCTGCTGCGCCGGCGGCCGCTGCGCTGGCCGCTGCTGCGCTGTCTGGCAGGCGGTCAGCCGATCCCCATCCCTCCCTCCTAGCCCCCCCCCCCCCCCCCTAGAGTAAGCTGCCGCGAAAGAAATACGGGTGCGCCAATCCGATCCAGCGCGGTTCGGGATCCGGCGGGATGTTGAGGGCCAGCGCGCGGAGGTCAAGACCGCGCGCGCCGCGGTCTTTCGGAATGCTGAGGGCCAGCGTGCGGAGGATTCACACGCCGGCCCAGGAGGTCTCCTGGCTGACGGCGTGGATAAACAACAACCCTTTCAAGTTTGGCGTCGGCGTGACCACCACCAAGACCGTCTGCGCAGACATGTTTGTCCAAAAAGTGATTGAGAAGCGCGACTGGGACGCGCGCCGCACGATGCTCTTTGCTTGCTTTGGCTTCTCGTTCCAGGGTAGCTTCCAGTACGGCCTAATCAACTGGGTAATTGAGCCCACGTTTCCGGGGAAGAGCCTGCGCAACATCGTGACCAAGATTCTGTGTATGAATCTGATCGTCGACCCGATCCTCTTCCTGCCCACCTTTTACAGCTTTAGGGTGATCCACCCTCTCGTCCCCACCTCGCTGCCGGCTCCCAGCGCGCGTGCACTCCGCCACCCCACTCCTTCTGGGCGCGCGTTGGCAACCGCCCCTCCCTATCCTCCCTCCCGAATCGAAGGAAGCAATGGTGGAGGAGCGAGTGGGATTTGACGTGATCCGCGCCGCCCTGGTCGGCTACTCCGAGAACTACTGGGAGGATTGGATGAACTCGTGGATGATTTGGTTCCCTGGCCACGTTGTGACGTATGGAATCGCGCCGCCAGCACTGCGGTGCACCCGCTGCTACGTCGGCCACCCGTCACGCACATGAGGCAACGATTTCAGTCGGCCTTGCCGCCGCTATAGGATCCCTTGGATGTCGATGCTCTCATTTGGATACGTGTGTGTCCTCTCCTGCACCCGCGGGCAGATCGACGAGCCGGCCGAAACGCCACAACAGGCAGAGGAGAAGGCCAAGCTGCGGCGCAATCTCAGCCGGCGAGCCTCAATCGTCGGCATCCGGATCCACGATAGCGAGGACCCGCGGGTGGTGGCAAGGAAGAAGTCAAAAGAACTGAGCTAGTGGCTCATCTGTACGTGTATGCCGTCCCATTGCGTGATCTGTGAAGAGAGTTACCGTGGGGATCTCCTGAGAGCT